GTCTCAAGGATTGAGCGCAGGTGGTTTTCAAAATGTTGCTCTCGCCTTGGCGCCGCGCACATTCGTTGTAGGTTTTTGCAACAGTACCTATACGACCACTCTTCGGGTGATATGGAGGTTTGGGGGGGGAGGAACCGACGTCTCACTCGATCGGTCTCACTATCGATCTCACTATTGGTCTCGCTCGATCGATCTCACTCGATCGATCTCACAATCGATCTCACTCGATCTATGTCATTCGATCGATCTCATAATCGATCCGACTATCGATCTCACAATCGATCTCATTATCGATCTCACTATCGATCTCACAATCGATCTCACATCTCGGTCTCACTATCGATCTCACTTTCGATATCACAATCGATCTCACAATCAACGTCAGCATCATCATCAACATCATCGTCATCAACGTCATCAACATCATCATCATCATCATCATCGGGACACCATCACCATCATCACCTCATCATCATCATCAAGATCATCATCATCATCATCGGGACACCATCATCATCACCATCATCATCATCATCGGGGCACCATCATCGTCACCATCATCTCCATCAACATCATCATCATCGGGACACCATCATCATCGGAACACCACCATCACCATCTCATCATCATCATCATGAACAACATCAACATCATCATCATCGGGACACCATCATCAGCAACATCATCATCAACATCATCATCACCAGGACACAATCATCATCGTCACCATCATCATCATCACCATCACCATCATCGGGTCACCATCATCATCATCATCATCAACATTAGCATCATCATCACCATCATCGGGCCACAATCATAAACATCATCATCATCATCACCTCATCATCATCCTCATCATCAACATCATCATCATCGGGACACCATCATGGGCATTATTATCACCAACATCATCATCATTGGGACACCATCATCATCACCATCATCGTCAACAGCATCATCATCAACCTCATTATTATCATCATCGGGACACGATCATCATCATCTACATCATCAGCATCATCATCTCATCATCATCTCATCATCATCAGCATCATCATGATCATCAACATCATCATCATCATCATCATGATCATCATCATCATCATCATCGGGACACCATGATCATCATCAGCAACATCATCATCACCATCATCGGGACACCATCATAATCACCACCATCACCATCATCATCAGCATCATCATCAACATCGTCAACATCATCATCATCATCATCATCATCATCATCATCATCATCATCATCGGGACACCATCATCACCACCATCACCATCACCATCATCAGCATCAGCATCATCATCATCATCATCATCATCATCATCATCGTCGACATCATCGACATCATCGACATCATCATCATCATCATCGGGACACCGACGGGACACCGGCGGGACACCGGCGGGACACCGCGGGCCATCGCGGGCCACCGGCCCCTGGAAAGGAATCACTTGGTCCGGCCGCGCCTCAGCCGGAGGCGGGACACCGGCGGGACACTGCGGGCCACCGGCCCCCAGAAAGGAATCATTTGGTCCGGCCGAGCCTCAGCCAGAGGAGACTTTCTTCTCGCCCGCCCACGCAGCTTCGCCTCGCTCGCACGCACGGCACGCACGAACACGAAACCGAAACCGATTTCCCGGTAGGGGTCTCTCCGTTCCACTTCGATCTCACCCCATCACCTCCGATCAAGGATGGAGGGGGGATTTTCAAAACGTGGCTCTCGCCGTAGCGCCGAGCACGTTCGTTCGACAAGCTTGCAACAGCTGTAAGGATGAAGCGCAGGTGGTTGTCAAAATGCGGCTCTCATCTCAGCGCCGCGCACATTCTTCCTATGCAATAGCTTCAAAGATGGAGCGCGATTATTTTTCAGAGTATACCTCTTGCCCTAGCGCCGCGCACATTGGTAGTATAAGCTCGCATCAGCTGCAAGGATGGAGGGCGGTTCCTTTCCAAATGGTGGCTTCAACTTAAGCGCCGCGCGCAAATTCATTGACAAATCTGCAACAGTTTCAGGGATGGATTGGGAAACGTTTTCGAAATATGATGAGGGATTTAATCGGCTGCAAGTAAACAAGTCACGCAAGGTTAGCCCGTCGTTCGTCCGCCGCGCGGCCGTAGTGGGTAAGTCATCCAGGTCCAGCCCGTCGTTCGTCGCGGCCACCACTTGACTTGGGGGCGCGCCGCTCGTTGTTCCTCGAAGTCGTCCGGTCTGGACGCGTTCCTTCTGTCATCTGTCGTCGTTCGCTCAATTGCGCGCTAGAGGACCGCCACCGCCGATGCAGCCGTCGCCGGCGGACTGGCGCCACTAGGTCTGAGCCTCTACGCCCCCGACCCCCCCCGCCCTCTATTGTTTTTCTTCCTCTGCTGAAGAAGTGCCAGATCCGCCCAAAAATGATCCGAAAGGGGAGGGGAGGGACCGTATTCTCTGAGTGATTTTGTCATTGTGTTTTTTGTCGTCGTCGTTGTTGATGTTTCGTAGACTCTTCTTCCACATATTATTCATCGACGCTCGATCTTCGGAAACCCTTCCCCGAGAGGCCTCATGGGTGGTCATCGAGGCATTTTGGATACGCTTTGGATGTTTTTCGGGGCCGATTTCCTGGGGACGTCTGTTGGGGCGTGTTGGCGGCCTTTGTGGAGGGTCGTTCGGGGTTTTCGGGGCCTTTTCGGAGACGTGACAGGGGCCTCCGCGGAGAATCTTGGGGCCGCCGTGGGATGTGGGGTTCGAAGGCGCCTTCGGGTTCTCCCTCTTGGGGCCTTCTTGGGGCCTTCCAGCCAGGTGGTTTGATTCGATTTAAGTTGTGTTCGTTCGATTCTCAGCGGGGGTGAGTACGTGTGCGGTGGAGGAGTTCTTTGTCGATGTGTGGGGACCTAAGTATTGTTGTGCGAAAGTTGATTGTCCGTATTCCTGGCTTGTGGGTTCAATGTGTAGAGACCACCCTCGTGAAACATGGCTCTCGCCTTCGCGTTGCGCGCATTCGATACAAACATGCGCAGCAGCATCAGGGATGGATCGGGGGGGTCAACGTTCAGCTCTCGCCCTAGCGCCACGCTCGATCTTCTCAGACGTGTGCAGCAGTCTCAGGGGACGGAAGGGGGTCGTTTTCAAGTTGATGTCTTCGCCTTAGCGCCGCGCGTATTCGTTTTGAGTCTCCGCAGTAGTTCTGAGGGTGGACGGTTGTCTCTTTTCAGAGTGGGGCTCTCTCCTTTGCGCCGCGCTCTTTCGTTTCAGCAGTCTGCAACTTTTTCAAGGATTGATCATTGGTCGTTTTCGACATGGGGCTCGCGCCTCAGCGCCGTACACATTCGCTTGTAACGGAACGCTTAGATGGACGGATTATTGTTTTTTCTCAGAAATTGAGTTATCGCACGATACATCGCTAGTTTCACAGACCCGAAATTTCAACATATGTAGCGACGCGCAGATCCAGGGCGGCTCTTTATTGATATGGACTTGTGGTTGGAGATTTCACGAAGTTCATGACTACAAGCGTAAAGCATGTGCAACAGTTACGCGGATGTGGGGCGGTCCTTCCTTACATATTGGATGTTGGTCTTCATTTCGTTGAATTGTATGGTAATAGTTTTCGCGTTCCTGGTTATGTGCCAGAGATGCAAGGCGATTCTCGTTCAAAGTGGGGCCTCGCCAAAGTGGCAGCCCCAAGTATGCTGGTCTCTCAAGGGGGCGTTTCTTGCAGTGCAGCGAAAAGCTTTCAGGGGCGCAGTGTGGCGCACGTGGAGGGGACTCGGGACCTGAGGGTGTACTGCAGCATCGCCGACGCACCGTTTGGTTTCTTCGGATCATCCTCTTCCGCCCCCTTCTGCTCGTGCTGCCTCCTCCCTCCCCTCCCCTCGCCCTCTTCGTCCTCCCTGCCCTGCACGGGGGTGAGCGCGTGCGGCGTGTGGGGTGCCAGAGGGCGCCCCCGAGGCCCCGCGGGCGTTTTCTCGGGCCGTCGACCGCCTCAGGCTCGGTCGAGCACGACGCCCGTGTCGAGCACGGCTGGGGCGAAGGGGGGGGAAAGGCACGCTGGCCGGCTGCAGCGAGAGAGAGAGTCGATGTCATTTAGCCGATCCCTATCCCCACCTCCATCCCCTTCGAGACCCCCACCAAATTGCCACCCCAGTTGGGGATGCAACCCTTGAAACCCTAAGAGAACGACCTACATCCCCATCTAGGGGGGTCAATCGGCCAGCGGGGCCCAGGCCACGTCGCTGGGGATGGGGATCGGTTGAACGATACTCAGAGAGGCATCGACACCCGCCCGATTTGGGTCGCCCAGGCTGCGCCAGCCATGCGCCACGTGTGAGGGTGCTCCCCGGGTCCTGCCCCTCGCGGGCCTCGTGCCACGTGCATCGGTCCACGCCTCCCCCCTCCCCCCACTGTTCAAAGGTGGCGGTGGGTCTGATGATTTGCACCTCGTCCGCAGTGTCCTCCGCGCGTGCCAGCCTCGAGTTTGGGCGAGAGTGGGAGTGTCCACTAGTTGCTTTCTCTCCACCGTTCTGATCGGGATTGGTCTTTGATGCCTGATCCTTTCGATCCCTCCCTTCGGCCTCCTCTGCCTTCGCCTCCCAGTGCTGCTGCTCCGCGTCGTCCTCCCCGGGGCCAGGCCTAGCCCCCCTCTTGCTGTCTCCCAATTCCTTTGGCCTCGCTGGCACATGCCCCGTCTCGGCACGAGGCAGATCCGATGGAAGGTTGAGGAGAGAGGGAAGACTTCACCCGTCTCCTCTTGCTCCTCCTCCTCCTCCTCCTCCTCCTCCTCCTCCTCCTCCTCGAGGGTTTCACCCGTCTCGTCGCCGCAGATTGGCAGTGTTGGGGATGACAGGTGGGATACTCATCACTGCCACCCTCCTGTAGCTCGCTGGGGGCCCAGGCTCCAGCCTGGGGGGCCAGCAGCAAGCCAGCCCCGGCTCCCGAGCCCGGGGGGGAGCGCACAGCAGACAGATTTCCATGTGGCCACCGGCTCCATCCGTCCCGTCGCCGCAGGTACATCTTCTCCAAACGGATAGAGAACGTCATCGTCCAGAAGGAGCGTTGGGCGTGGCCCTGCCGCGCCTCTGCCGCCGTGCTCCTTCGCCCAATCCTCCCCGCCTGCCTCCTCCTCCTCTCTCGGCGGCGAGCGAGGGGGGGGAAGAGTGGGAAGGAGGAGGCCTTCTCAGAGGGCGGCGGGGCTTCTCAGAAGCCCTCGCGCCTCTGTGTGTCGTTGGGGAAGGTTTAGACGGCCCGCTCCTTCTCGCTTCCCCCCCAGGCTCCCCTCTCAAACTCTGTCGCCCGACCTCGTGCGCATGGTCCGCTCTCTCCCTTCCTCCCCAGACTGGAGGGCTTCCCCGAAGGGCTCAGGCGACCCGTCCCCCGTCCTCCTCCTCCTCCTCCTCATCCTCCTCCTCCTCCTCCTCCTCCCTCCCCTCCTCCTCCTCCTCCTCCCTCCCCTGCTCCTGCTCCTCCTCCCTCCTCCTCTCTCATCTCATCGCAGCGCTGCGGCCAGTCTGGCGAGCGGTTCGGGAAGACGCCCTACCCGCGGGTGGGGCCGACGGCCAGCTGTATGGCCAGCGGCGTCGGCGGCAAGCAGCGGCCGCTGCAGGCATTCGCTCGGCACTCGGACGGAAAGGGAGAATCGCAGGACTCGAATCGATGTCGGATCATCGTGAGGACGGGAGAGGAGAAAGAGGGCCCCCCCCGAGGCAGGGGGTGTGCCTTGGCACTGGGGTCGGCGGTGTGACCAGTCCAACACCGACCCCGCCTCGAGTAGCTCTCGCCTTGGCGGTATACTACTTCCTCCTTCAGAGGCAGCCGTCAGCTCTGGTGGGGGTAGGGGTCCATTGGCCAAAAGTGGGCCCATTGGCCCGTGAGTGAGTGGGGCTCCCAGGACCACCCGTGCTTTCCACCCCAGAGCTGTACTAAAGAAATTGCAACTGCTACTTCGGGCCTGGTCTGACCGACCTCGCCTACTCCTGGCAGGTTGACTGTCAGGAGTGAGCAGTCCGTCCTTGCCCTGAACGCGCTCAGTGTGTTCCTGAACTCCAGCATCTGGCTTGGCACCAGATTCCGAAGCTCTGTCACCTCGGGCATGCTGGAGAAGGCCGTCCTACACTGCATCACCGTGGGGATGCTCTGGAGCGCCGCGTGCGTGGCCAGCAGCACCCCAGCCCTCAGCGCGTCGTTCTCCTCCATCTGCTTCTTGCGCTGCGTCTTCGCGGTCGTCCAGCTGCCCCATATGTTGTGCTTTCTCGTCTCCTGGGTGTCGTGGCATTCTGGCATCTCCACTATGACCGCCGCGATGCGTCCGTCGTCTATCTGCGTGCGCCATTGCTGCAGGGCGTCCCACCTCAGCTCCGTGAAGGCCAGGTCGATGCCACTGCAGTCATTCTCGGTATTCGCCGCCCTCGCCATCTCATACTCCATGATGTCTGCGTAGTCTCCTTTCTTGCGCTTCACCGTCGTCGCATACAGCACGGTCTTGGCTGAGTCGAGGTTCGGCGACGGAATGGTCCGCTCTCTCCATTCTTCTCTCATCGGTAACTTCGGTATCTCTATGTTCTCGCTGTCCTGCTCCGAGTCCGCGCATCCTTCTATGTGTTCTGGTTCATCTCCTTCATCATGTCTGTCCTCTTGTGCTTGTTGATCTGCTGCTTCGTCGCCGTCCTCACTCTGCGTATGGTCCTCTTTCTTATGTTACTTCTTTTCTTTTTTGCTGCATGGGATAAGTGTTTTTTCCACTCTGTATCCTTTTTGCTTCAGCTTCGCCGTGTCGTCCATGTCCTGCTGGTATAGTTTCCATGCCTCTTCCTGTTCCATTGGGTGTTCATTTTTCTTATACCATTTGAGACACTGTCGGCAACGATGTCGCAGGTGTATGATAAGTCTCGGCCGTGTCTGAAAATCTTTCCCACATGAAATACATAAAGAACCTTTTGCATACAATTGCGCTGTGTCGATTGGGATATGCTTCTTCCTGTGTCTTTTCCATGCTCCTCTTTCCGCCGTCGTAAATCCACATTCGTAACAAATATATTGTGCGTCCTGGTCTCTTTCCCTCCATGGTATTGCTGCCGTCTGCTTTTGTATCTTGTCCAATTCTCTTTTCCATCTATCATTCATCGCACCGTCAATATTGCTATCCATTTGTCTTTGCCATGCTTGCCTGCATCGTCTGTCATATTCTTTCCCATCCTGCCGTATCATATCTATCCATTGTTTTTTGCTTCTAGTAGGCTCCAAGTCTTGGTCTGTCATCTCTGATAGCCACTGAAGATCGCCTTCAATCATGTCCGCCCATGTCTCCTTCCTCTTGATCGTTTCTAACTCATCCAATGCCCTGCGTAGTATCGGCGGCCCACTTTCCTCTATCGCCTTCAGGAAGCGTAGTCTCCTGTATCTTAGTAGCGTTGGTAGGCCCCCCAGCTTTGCCTTGGCATACAGCTCCTTGTCTGTCGTCGGCTCCATTGTTCTGGCCCCCATCGGCTTCGTTGTGAGTCCCAGTGCCTGTCGAATACCCTTGCCGTACGCCGTCTCCACGATCTTGCTGGCTGTTTTCGGCATCGGTGGCCATGTCTCGCTCTGCCATAATAGCTTGCTGTTGGCGTAGCTCTTGGTGCCTCCCTCCTCCTCCTCCTCCTCCTCCTCCTCCTCCTCCTCGTCCCTCCTCCTCCTCCTCCTCCTCCTCCTCCTCCTCCTCCTCGTCCTGCTTCTCCTCCTCCTCCTCCTCCTCCTCCTTCTCGGGTCGCCTACGGCCCCGGGGGGAAGCCGTGCACCCCAGATCTCCGACGACGTGCTGTTTTCCACACGGGCTCCTTCCCCAGAAACCCCGGCCCCCTGTCCTCAGAGGCCCCCCCAAAGGAGGCCTCCAGAGGGGTCTAGAAGCAGGAGCGCAGAACACGTCCTCGAGCGTCGATCCTCCCCATCGATCCTCGACCCATCGATCCTCGATCGTCGAACGGTCCTCGACTCCCCGTCCGAAGGCCTCGACCCTCGATCCTCCCCCGCCCCAGCCGCGGAGGAGCGCGAGCTCCGGAAGGGCGTCGGCGGCGCCCTGGCGAAAGCGTCCGGCGACGGCTCGCAGCCGCCCGCGCCCTCCTGCGCCGACGCCACCCCGGCTCGGCCCCCGCCCTCTGGGTCCTCGCCTGCTCCCCCCCTCCGTCCACCCAGCGAGCGGTGGCGAAGCGTCCTGGCCCGCCCGGAGGCCCACCAGAGAGTGTTCTCAGAACCCTTTCTGTGGTCTGCACGGAATGTTCCTGAAACATTTCTGGCTGGGACTGTCTTGTTGAGAACATCGGGCACTTGTTCTGGGAACACTGTTTTGTTTCGAGCATGTTCTAAGCATCTTTTGTTTCGAGCAATTCGTGGCAGGCCCAACAAAATGCCGGGACGGTCGGTCCCTGCTCTCTCTTCTCCCCCTCCGTCCACCCAGGCCTCCCAGTGGGGGTCGGAGCAGATGGGGTCGGAGGATCGCGCTGCATCGCCGATTCATCGCCGAGGCGGCACGATATGTTGAGGCCCCCCGATTTTCTTCACGACGATGTCGCCGGTACATCGGCGATGCGGCGCGATCCCTCAACCCCAGCTGCTCGGACCCCATCTGGAAGGCCTCTCGTCCTCTAATCTTCCTCGTGATACGGTCCTCCCGTTGGCCCACCAGACGTGTCGACAGGGCGAGATGGGCATTTCACTTGAGATTTCCTCACCGCTTATGACCCTCAAGCGGAATATGTCCAACAGTTACAAGGATGGAGGTCGGATCGTTAAAAGGCGCCTCGAGCGCCATGCACATTCGTCGCTAAAGTTCCCCAAGTTACAGGGATCGAGGGCGATTGGCTTTCAACATGTGGCTCTCGCCTTAGCGCTGCGCGCATTCCTCGTCAAAGCTTCCAACACTTGTATGGGTAGAGAGCGATTCCTGTTAAGAACGGGACCCTTGCTCGAGACGTCCTCAAGCACAACAGCTGGAAGTGCACAGCAAAACGGGGTTTTCACCTGCCTTTGAATTGTATTATTACCCTACCCCCCCCCGCATGCCCACATCGCTGGAAGGATGAAGGGCAGTTCCCTGTTCAAGACGGGGCTCCTCCCTGGTGGCAGGCTCATGGGGGCGCTCGCCCCTAAGCGGGCGCTCCCCGCAGCGGAGAAGGCAAGCCTGCAGGGTTTCCAGAGGCAGGCACTTGGGATTGGAAGGTGCATCAATGTGTTTGATGCATCCTGGGTATCCTCTGGTCTCTCCTCCCTCCTCCTGCTCCTCCTCCTCCTCCATTATTTTTTCCACTAAATAACTTCTCCCTGTCGCACCCTGGGGCCAGTTTTTAGGGCGGGCCTGGCGTTTCGCCTGAGACTTCCTCACCATTCATGATTCAGAAGCATAAAAAGTGGCAACAGTTTCACAGATGGAGGGCGGGTCGTTTTCAAAATGTGGCTCTCGCCTTGGCGCCCCGCACATTCGTTGAAAACATTTGCAAGAGTTTCACGGATTGAGGGCGGGTCGTTTTCAAAATGTGTTCTCGCTTTAGCGCCGCGCACATTCGTTTTAAACATGTGCAAGGGTTTCACGGATTGAGGGCGGGTTGTTTTCAACATGTGGTCCCATGAGTGCAGCGCACATTATTTTAAAACATTTGAGTTTCACGGATTGAGGGCGGGTCGTTTTCAAATTGTGGATCTCGGTTAGCACCGCGTGCACTCTTCTCAAGAATTCGCAAGGGTTTCACGGATTGAGGGCGGGTCGTTTTCAAAATGTGGGTCTCCCCTTAGCGCCGCGCACATTCGTTTTAAGAATTCGCAAGAATTTCACGGATTGAGGGCGGGCCATTTTCAAAATGTGGTTCTCGCTTTAGCGCCGCGCACATTCGTTTTAAACATGCGCAAGAGTTTCACGGATTGACGGCGGTTCCTTTCCAAAATGGTCCCCCTTAGCGCCGCGCACATCTTTTAACACATTTGGAAGAGTTTCACGAGACCATTTCTTTATTGCTTGGGGCATGACGGGCGTCATGGCCCCCGCCCCCCCCCCGTATGACACAACGCTCCCCCCCCAGTGCGCTC